AGGCCAGTCACATCGGCCTTCGTCACGACACCGTCATTGGGCTTATGCAGCTTTTGATCAAGAACCAGGTGACCAGCCTGAAACCCACCACACCCTGGTAGTACCGCCGCTGTTTGTTCGCGGCTGCTTATTTGTTGCAGTGTACTACAACTTATTCACAGCTTACCTTCTTCGGAGAAGGTATCCCCCTATCCACAACCCGGGGACGCGCCTGGTAGCATTCAGCTCTGCTTCCTTGCAGGCTGTACCAGATGTACCGGCATTCACAACCACACCATACGCGTACTTTTCCAAAGACAACATGGAAGCATTGAATAAAGTTGTATCCACCAACGTCATAGACAACAACACCATGGTAGCATAACAAGTAAAGATAGCCTCCGACAAATACTGGGTAAGAAACAATCGTTAATCTACACGAAACCAAAACATTCCACCAAAATCAAATCTTAGAATACAACTTCAAATTCAGTTCACCAGCCTTTGATAAACTTAAACAAAAAACGCCACAATGGTCTGCTGGAACACTTCTATATTTACCACTGTGCACAATTAATGACGATAAAGACGGAAAATTCGGACAAGGATGGTCATACATCTATGGTAAACCGGACGCATCAACAGCCACTATGGGCTTCATGCCAAAACACACGATTTACCATTCCTGTTCGTCTACATCTCATGGATGGATCAAGTAAACGACACGGAAACTATCGCAAGACTATACCGAATTCAACATGACACTATGATCCGTACCGGAAGGAGCACACCAACTGAACACGAACAGAACCAAAAAAACCAAATGTCCTACTTTACTCATGCGAACACAGCCAAAGAAATGTACCGACAAACTTATCAATTTCAATAAATTTCTCCCCTCCTCCCGTCATTTTAATCTCAGTCTGGTCCCCTCCTCTCGTATTGGCCGGTCATCATCACACCGCATCGATGTGGTGTGAGTAATCCACTCGCCACCAATTACAAAGGAGGAATGGAAAGTAGGAGGGGAGAGGAACAGTAGAGCTTTCATCTCATTGGAGGAAAGGCTGGGAGATTTTTGGTCATCATCATCATCATCATCATCATCATCATCGTACAGCGAAATTATAGGGAAGCGAACTTCACTGAGCGATCTCCGTATTATACAATCAGGATCAGTGAACGGGGTGGCACATAAAGACGGCATGCCTTGTTGTAGCAAGCACATCAAGGGAAGGCCGTAGACTACAGGTACAAGTTTACAATCGGTGCAGCTGTATGCTCCCGGTCACCGATAGAACACCAATCAATACTATTTAGGTGATTAACCGTGAATCGTTTTTACATTTTTCGTTCTACTTGCTCCTAGTTAATTGGTCGGTTACATGGATCATTGTGTTTTTCTGTTTTTTTTTTCTGAAATAGAGTTACAATCTCCAAAACTACTTAGCCGTTTTATTTGAGATCAACTGTCTAAAGTTTGCACATCAAATTGTACTCTACAAGGCAATAAAGCATTCGATGTGCTATCTCAAATACTACCGGGGTTTGACGAGATTACTCATGAATGAATTCGTTCTGGACTGTCTCTTAATTAATCCAAGTGCTTCGAATGCACTTTCTCTCTCTCTCGATCTGTTTATCCCCGTGATCCGTCTGTCATAAA